CTTTATGTTCTCTGGTCTTTTTTTTTTTTTTTAAAGATTTTATTTATTTATTTATTTATTTGAGAGAGTGAATGAGGGAGAGAGAGAGCATGAGAGGGGGGAGGGTCAGAGGGAGAAGCAGACTCTCCGCCGAGCAGGGAGCCCGATGCAGGACTCGATCCCGGGACCCTGGGATCATGACCCGAGCCGAAGGCAGTCGCTTGACCAACTGAGCCACCCAGGCGCCCCATTCTCTGGTCTTCATACATGCAATAAACATATATGTTGGAATAGGCACGCAATATTTGAAAAAATAATATATATACGGTATGGCAAAAAATAACATATCTGATCTAATACCATTAGGAAATGAGAGAAAAATAACAAAATACGAGGACAACAGTAGAAGTGGTTTCCTTTGTGGGGCTGAGCCACGATCAAAGACTGATGTCGGTGCGGGAGGAGGATTCGGTCGTGGGGGGAAGGGAGGAGGGCGTGAGGAAAGGTTTCAGGTGGTGCCAACCTCAGCCTTGTCCCTACACGTGTGGTGGCATGGAGCCTGCAGGCCTGAATCTCTCCCCTGGGCCCAGCGTTCACAAAGGACCTGACCCCCTCTTGGGGAAGATCTGTTGGCGGAGAGCCTGCCCGCGCATTCTTCCCCGGGCCAGCTGCCTGACGTCAGTGGGGAGGAGCCCACGGACTCAGCCACGTGGTCTGCCTGGTCAGACTCGGCATAGAACGTCTTCCAGTTTCCATGGATGTCGGAGCATTTGAAATGTCCTTGATCTTGATCTTGCAGCCGCCAGTGTTTATAGAACGGATTCAGTGGGACCCAAAACTTACCCTGTTGGCCGGCCTTGCTCCTCGCCTGCGTATACTGGGACTCCTGGGGTCGCCTGCAGGAAGGATGCGCCCCTGCTCGGGTGCAGCCAGCAGAGGGGCACACTTTGCAGGGAGCGTAAGTGCAGGAGGGGGTGGGGGGAGGCCGAGAACAAGGGGGCCTTTATGAGGAGAATCTAGGCCTGAGGGCATGTGGTTCTGCCACTGCCCACAGCACAGCTCTGTGGCCCTGGTCCGGACTGGTGCATCCAGCCATCTCAAAGCTGGGCTTGTATGACCAGGCAGGGCTGAACAAAATGCTCTCATTTATCCTGGAGCTGTATAAATAAAAACCGTGCAAAACAAGAGGGGCCTGCAGCTCCCGGCTTTCGGCGCATCGACTCACCTGCCTGCCTTCAGGTCTTCTCTTCAGCTCCGGTTTTTCCCACGGGAAGACCACAGATCTATTTGAGAGCGGCTTGGCGGTCCAGAAACAGGCTTTGGGGTACAGACGGGTCGGGGCTGAGTTTGGCTGGTGGGAGTCAGTGTTCTGGGCCTGGATATTCTCGACCAGGGATCGTACTCTTGACGCCATGGAGCAAGAACCTCAGGTTGAAACGGTGGGGTCCAACACCTCCACTGGCAGCGACCCAGCCCCCACGTGGGCGGCAGGCCCGCACAGACAGAAGGGCAGCCTTATGGAGGTGCTGTGGCTCCTTGTGTGTTTCGGGGGCAGGGGGCACAGAACTGAGAAGAGTAACCAAGTGACTTCACGGCATTCTCCTTACCTGTGTGTCTCCGTCCCCCCGGCCATCCGAGTTAGGGCCACCCCGGTCCAGTGTGACCTCCTCTGAACACAACTGATGACATCCCCCAAGACCCTGTTTCCAAATAAGGTCAGTCACAGGCTTCTAGGGTCAAGAACTCAACTCTTTTCAGGGGACAGAATTCAACCTACTGCAGGCACCAGCTCCGTGGGCTCTGCCAAATCTGCTCTAAAAGATGCAGCCATCTGGCACTGCAAAGGGTTCCTGTGGTTTGGATAAACTTGGGTCCTTCCACGGGATTAAAACTATTCTGAAGTGGGGAGGGGGGACAGGTTCTTGGCCAGCATCAGTAGCTGAATTTACAGAGGGTAGGTAGATCTACGCAGAACAGAATTTCTATAAGTAATCACACTGCAGCCAGAAAAAGGTTTGCTATTGGCTCCCAGTCAGCCCAGGCAGGGTAGCCCGGCTCCAGCCGACTTTCTATTGAAGATGGAGGTCCCCGCCCCACTGTGGCACTCATGGGGACACCCACTGCTCCCCACATTAGCATGCAGAGCACCCTGACCCATGAGGAGGCTTCCCTGGGTGTGGGGCCTGCAGGGACGTGGCCACCCAGCCTACAGCTGCCACTGTAAGAGCTGGTGACACTGGGGGGGCCCCTCCACGGTGGCTTCAGACCGCAGGCAAGATGGTGCAGTCACACGGGATTCCCCTCACCCTGTCCTGGTTCATTTCCCTGGGGGCAGGGGAGGAGCACGGCGTGCAGCCTGAGGCCTAAGGCTTCCCTCCTACCCTCACCTCCACCCTCCCCAATGTCTCCATCCTCAGAGTCCGGCATCAAGCCGCCAGAGTTAGGACGGTGCCAGGAGGTCCAGCTCCGAGTAGCGGCGGTTCCTCGGTGCCTGATACACGCCGGTCCCTCCTTACCCTGCCCCTCAACTCCACCCCTGCAACGGCTCTTTGGAGGAAATTAAGGGTCAGGGAGATTAGACGGTTTACCCAATGTCACGCAGTGAGAAACCAGAACAGCCTGGACTCAACACAGTTCTCTGCGAGCCAGCCACAGCATGCTGCCTCCTCCATCGTCACCACGTCAGAGATTCTCACAACCACCCCCTGGGACAGAGTACAGACAAGCACGGGCATGAGCTAGGAGCTCGGAGCAGCCGGGGCCTCTGAGCCACCTTGGAAGTGGACACGGCAGCCACGGGACACGTGGCACGCAGCCCTCGAAGCGTGGCTGGTCTGAACCGCAGCGCGCCGCAGGCGCACGGTCCACAGCGGGTTTCAAGATGTCGTATGAGCAAAACAAGGTCAGCTGTCTCACTGGTGAGCTGTCTATAGATCACGGGCTGAAAGTAGTATCGTGGGTGTAATGGGGTCAGTAAAATATTAATTTCACCTGCTCCTTGTCCTACAAGGCAACTGGAAATGGGAAGTTGCCCGTGTGGCTCAGTGTGTGGCGTGTGTTGTACTTCCGTCGAGGGCGCGGATCTGGGTCACTGTTCACCGTATAGTCGGGGCTCTGGGAGCTGCTGTGACAGGTGGCAGTGCCCATGGGCCGCTGCTCAGCAGGTGCCCTCCTCCACGCCCGCTGACCCGAACTCGGCCATTCTCGGCATGTGGCTTCCCAAGGCACCGGTGAGGTCCTGCCTAGCCGGCGGCCGGCCGGCAACTGGAATACGCTTGCAGGAGCCAGCACTGAACACCTTATTAGTCTGCCCGGGCTGCTGTTAACAAAGCAGCACAGACCAGGCGGGGCCGAAGGCCAGGATCCTGGGGTCAGCACGGTGGGGTCCTTCTGAGGCTGAGGCAAAATCTGTTCCTGGCCTCTCTCCCAGCTGCCGGGGGCTTGCTGACAAGTCTTCGCTGCTCTTGGCTTATAGAAGCATCACCCTGACTTCTGCCTTGTTCAGGTGGCCTTCTCCCTGGGTGTGTGTCTGGGCCAAACCTCCTCTTTTTTTAAGGGCTGAGCCGTATGGATGAGCCACCCTACTCCAGGATGGACTCACTTAACTAATTACACCTCCCATGACCCTATTTCCAAATAAAGGCATATTCTCAGGTACCGGGAGTCAGGCACTACAAGTCAGGGTATGAATCTCAGGGGGAACACAGTGTGAACGCACATCTCAGGGACGTGGCCACGCTCCCGAGGGGCTGGTGACTGCGCTGGTGCTGGGGGCACTGTCACCCTGCCAGCCAGCTGTAGGCAACGACACCAGCCAACGGTACCGTCAGCTCCGCCCTGCGGGCCCTGGGGCACAGGCCAAGGCCCGGAGGGGCACGTCTGCTGACGACCCAGCCCCACATCCTCGGGCACCGAATTCCAAAGTCTTTCCACACCGTGGTCCATTCCAATCTTTTCTCTTTTTTTGAAATGAAGATTTAATCATAACTTAATTATAAATTTAGTAAGTTCATAATTTAATAAATTATAAATTAATTTTAAGCCTAAATGTATAATTATGTATTATATTAATATAAACTTAATATACATTAAGCCATAACTTAATTTTTAACTATATGCGAATATACCGTTGAGAAATTAAACCACTCATAGATGGTTAAAATCAACCCAAGCCACATAACGTCAACGTAATTCCTTTTATCAGTTTGATGTGTATCTTTCCAGGACTTTTTTTAAACTCGTACAGACATCGCCACATCGTTCCGTGGGTGTGTTCACACGAACATCTCTTAAAATGAGCATCGCTCTGCAACTTGCTCTTTTTCCTCAGACACCAGTGTGTAGAGTTGCACAGCTCCACCCTGTTCCTTTAACTGCCACAGGGCATCCCAGCGTGTGTGTTTTGTGGCTAAGACATTCCTAAATGGAGACATTCAGCTTGCTTTCATTTTCTAAAATTGCTAATGACGTTGTGCTAACCATCCTTGGATCTGCTTCCTGGCAGACACACTCAGGCTTTGTTGGAGTGGACTCTGAGTCACAGGTGCGGCTCTGGGTGAAGATCCTAGAGCCCAGGTCCTGCCAGAGCCAACGGATCCGCCTGCTCTGAATGGGAGGTCTCTTGGCTCAAGAAGGGGTGTGCTTGGCTTGGGGGCCAGGAACCACTGGACGGATGCTCCACGGGGCCCTGGGAGGGGTGGCCCAGCACACAGGGCTCCAGGACATGCTCGTTTGTGCACAGAGAGAGCTGCTCGAGGTAAGGAAATGCAGATTCAGGGGTGGGGGTTGGTTGGGGGGCCAGAACATGTCTTGGTGGGAATGCTGGGGAGCTCCACGGGGCCCACCTGCACAGTGAGGTCTTTCTCGAAGAAGGCCTGGGAGCCCAACCTTCCTTGGCTGTGACGGCAGGGGTGGAAAGGTGTACACACCTTGGACGAGAAAAGTCCACATGTAGGGGCTCGGGGAGTCCGTTGTGACACAGACACAGAATAAAGCACGTTGGAGACACTGCAGATCACGTATTCTCTGTTTATTATCACAATGAGTAATTCACAGCAAGGACTGCATGAAAGTGTGGGTCACAGAGCACCATGTATGCAATGACCCCATCCACACGCGGCTGGGGACACACACCCGCATGCTGACGTACCGATGGGGTGGAGGGGGAGGCAGCCTGGACTACCACCAAAGTGGATGGAGGAGAAGGGTTCCTGTACGTTTTACAATAAGCATTTATGGTTTTTACAAAAACACCAAAGCTCTTGCTTTTTTAATTTAAAAAACACCGACGACAAAATTATTTTTCACAGACACATTAAGTCATTTTGCACATCTCGGTTTCCTTCCCAACAGCAGCACAGATGCCGCCACCCGGACTGGAACTCGCCTCGGAGCTGCCCAACCCCACCACCCCCCGTAACCAGGAAGGTGCTGGGGTGTGAGGGCCCTTCCCCTGGACCAGGTGGAAATCCTGCCTTTCTTCTCACAGGATCTGTCGTTCTAGAAGGCTCTCTGCAAACCGTTCTTCAGAAAAAGGTTCATGCCCAGGGAACAGAAAGGAGGTGATTTTTCAGTCACCCCAAATAAAGCCCGGGAGTCCCACCTGTGGATCTCGATGCGAGGTTTCCTTCTTCCTTCGGGGGTCACCTGCTCAGAGCCCTCGGGCCAAGGCGTTTATAGGGCAGCATCTAGCATCACAGCATCCAGAACCTTCCGTAAGACTCCCCAGCATCAGACGCCCATCAGCGCCCCCATCAGGCCTTCAGCAGGGCGATCTTGTGCTCCGGAACGGAGTCTTCGCTGACGTTGTAGGGCTGGGTCCCTGGTTCTTGCCTCAGGTATTTCTCTGCAGAAAATACGAGATGTGCAAGCACAAAAGAGGCGGAAGTGAGGAAGGGTCACGTCCCAGGATGGGATGAAGAGCCGGCGCTTCAGAGTCCTGCTGCACAGGGAGTTGGGGTCCCCCTGGCCAGCACCCAGAGCCCCGGCAAGGTTCCGCCTAAGTCCCTGTCAGCGCCTCATCACTGTCCACGCCCGATGACCCTTCCTTAGTGCCGCGTGGCCCTCCAGCAAGACCGGGCCACGTCTCTTCCCCATCTCCTGTGGGTCGGCACGTGAGCTGCTCCCAGCAACGACACCCCGTTAAGCCCCAGAAATCAGACACAAAGTCCTCCTGATCCCAGATACGTGACATTCTAGAGCAGGCAGAGCTGACTCATGAGGGAAGGAAGCCGAACAGCTGCTACCCCTCGTGGGGGTCATGAGAACGGACTGACGGCACTTTCTGGAATGACGGAAACGTTCCACGTCGCCTCCGGCTACCCCCACCTGTGAGACCCCGAGCCGCGCACGTGGGGTCTGCACATCCACGGAGCGAACGCCGCACGTGAGTAAAACCACCCCTAAAGTGACTCCCAGAACAGGAGGGCCCTGACCGTGCCCTGCGCCTGCCCCACCGCGTCGCGCCCGTGCTCCCCACGCTTGCACTGGGGCGCCCGAACCCCTGACCCTGCCAGGGCTGAGTTTCGGGCCTGCGGTCCTGCCCCCCATCCCACGTGCCATGGGCGTACTGCGCTGCCGCGGGTCTCTCCTTGACTCGGCCTGCACCCACCTGCCTCTTCCAGGGTGGAGAAGTACTGGACACCCTTCAGGTCAGCAGACAGCAGCACACGGAGGACAGGAACCTGCGGGGCAGAGAAACTCTAATTCCAGGCAGGGTGCCCCCGTTGCAGCGGGCAGGCACGGGTGGGCTGGGGCAGGCACCCCCGGCCCAGCGTCACTGCGTGTCACGGCCTCCCCCAGAGTCTCCCGGCAGGGACAGCTTCACCTCTGCTCAGGCAAACGGAGAGAAGAAACTGCCCCTCGACTGTGCTAGAAGAGGGAGACTTTTAAAATGATTACTCTCTGAGAGACCCAAAAACGAGCTCTCTGCAAACAGAACAAACAACGTAACAGGAGTGAACTCTGGAGCCGGGGGGGGGGGGGGGGGGGGGGAGCCCCCCTGAACGGGCCCCTGGGCCCTGGGGCGGGCCCGCCGCCTCCCCCCCCCCGGCCCCCTCGGCCCGGGAGGGGGGGGGGGGGGGGGGAACAACACCGACTCACCGGCAGCTGACGACACCCACCTGCAGGCCGACCAAGGCGAGGGTGACGCCGTGCCTGCGGAAGTCCCCCACGAGCTCCTCGAGCCCCAGCACCACGGTGTAGTCGATGCTGCAGACGTGCGTGCACTCCAAAACCGCGCAGCGTGGGGGGGATGCTGCAGAGACAGGGGCCAGCCGGTCACCCGGGGCATGGGCGGTGGCAGGCAGCCCTGGCCAGAGGCCTGGGGCACAGTGACGCCATCGGAGCTCCATCCCCCCGTGGGGAGGGGGCGGCCAGGGGCGGCAGGACCCCAGACAGCTGCACAGAGCAGCAGTTTCCTTCAGAAGACGAACAGACCCCCTTTTCTCCCCTAAATACCAACTCCCCGGAGAAAGGGATGGGTACTTAGGAACACAGATTGGCAACAGCCCCCGTGCTGCGTGCGGACAGCAAGCACCCACTAGACACCACTCTGAGATACCCAACGTCCTGGACCCGGGAGTGGGTGAGCTCCCGGGAGCTGAGGACAGGGCCCTGGGGTCCTGAGGCAGCAGACGGGGATGCAGAGACAGTGGCAGGAGCTGGGGGTGACTGCAGCCCACCTCATCCTGACCTACGTACCTTCCAGGGCCCGGGTGAGTACGGCCTCCCGGAGGGCCTCCACCGCGGGGAAGTGCAGACCGCTGGCTGGCTGCAGGACCAGCACCGGCCCCTCTGACACCTGGGGACAGGGGGACAAAGGAGGGGCAAGCCTGTAGGTCCTGGAGGCGCATCCGACCTGGCAGCTTGGCTAGGGTGGCCTGCCCAGGCAGGAGGCCCCAACCCAGACCGACAGAAGGGAGGGGGGCGCGGAGCTGACGAGCGGGCGCGTGAAGCATACAGCACCTCACCCCACCAGGCCCCCCAAGCCCAGCGGATCCCTCTTGCAGGGACAACGGATAGGCTGGTACCTGCATCTTGGGTCTGGCCACGGAGTGCAGGAGAATCAGCACGGACACCAGGGTCCCGGCCAGGATGCCATACTGGACCTCCCAGAAGCAGAGCAGGAACGTCAGGCAGAGGGGCAGCAAGTCCAGCCCTGCGAGAGAGCAGTCCAGCTGAGGGGCAGTCCCCCTCGGTAAGCTTGCGGGGGGACTTGGGGACTGTTCTGTCAGACACACTGGTCACCCTGGACGTCTCCCACCTTCCCTCCAGCTGCGCTGGGCTTGGGGCTGGGAAAGGGGAGAAGAGAGATGAGGGAGAGGGGCAGAGAGGGAGAGGAGAGGAGAACAGCAATGCAGGGGGAGGAAGAGGAGTGCAGGGGGAGGGCGAGAAGGGCAGGAGGCAAAGGGGGAGGAGGAGAGGGGAGGGGAGGTGGAGAGGAGCAGGGAGAGAAGTGGAGGAGAGAAGAGGAAGATGGGAGGAGTGCAGGAGAACGGGAGGAGGGGAAGAGGAGGGAGAGAGAAAGATGGGGAGGAGTGGAGGGGAGGAGGGAGAGGAGAAGAGGAAAAGAGGGGGATAAGGGTGCAGGAGGAGGG